AACGTCATATATATATATATATATATATATATATATATATATATATATAATTAAAATTACACCCTAATGTTTGAAAATTTATTGAAGATAGCAACAAAGTTCTTTTGTGTTTTAAGATTAATTAAAATTTTTTTATGTGATATGTGAAGTATATTGCCAGACTACTCAAGCGTATACACGATGAGGCATCTAAAGGTCACCTAAATAACTCGTTTTTTTCTTTATACGAAAAAGTATTTCAGATAAAAGTGGAACAATTTTGAGGGGAACGTGTTTTGGCCACGTTGTTTTTTTATCTATATGGAGATACTAAAAAAATATAAAGATTATCTCTTTTTTAAATGGAATTACATCTAACTTACTGTAATTAAGTGTCTTCCTTCGATTTTAATAAATTTTGGATATGTTATAATATACATATATAATAGATAAAAATAAGATATGTATCTTTTTGTAAGTGTTGAATTATCATTCGTTTAGAGAGAGTAGAACTGTCTTGTAAAAATATTTTCTTTTTTTTTCAGCGAATATCCTCTAAATTGTGAAAGATATTTAAAAAGTTTTAAATAAAAGACGAACAGTTTTTAGAATACTTTAAAATAATAAAAAAATAGACGTAATATGTATTATATAAGATCATATATAATTAACCATATATAATCACATCCGAGATTTGGCACAATATGATTTTGTATAATTAGATATGATTGTGTATATAGTCGGGTATAATCTTTCATGTATAATTATATAACAATTTTTAATTTTTAAATAAATTTCTGTTAAAGTTTATTTTGATTAGTATCACGTTTTTCAGAGAAACAAAAATTAAGATAAAATTACAATTAAAAAAAATATCTAGAAATTATAATTTTACGATATAATTTTTAAATGATAATTTTACACTTGTCAATAGTAGGTCGAGCGGACGCACATATTCGATAATCTTTAGACAATAATATCTTGTTAACTATTGCGAAAATTGTAAAATGGTACAAGACTTTCCGTTCTCAGTTCAGTTCGCTTTACCTGTCCACAAAATCCGTCAGGTGAATTTTGGAACACCCTTTATTATACGTTTGTACCTATAAGTATGAAATTTATATATAAAGTGAACATTGTTACGAGTCGACTGGTTTGGACTACATTATCGTTTATACTTCTATAATAATCTGTAATTCTGTTATAATCTATAAAGGCAGAAAAATACTTGTTTGAAAAAAATTGGTAAAACAGATTCACTTTAGAATCTCCTTAAATAGCAATTTTTTTTAACCGGAAACTTTTGCATGCTACCTGTCCTTAAATATTAAGTTATATTGATATTGTGTTTATATTGTTATAGGTTGCTATAAAGATAATAGACAAAACTAAACTAAATGAGGAAAATTTAGCAAAAATTTTTCGTGAAGTACATATAATGAAAAGATTACGACATCCACATATTATAAGACTGTACCAAGTAATGGAAACGGAGAAAATGATATATTTAGTGACAGAATATGCTCCTGGTGGTGAAATATTTGATCATCTTGTTCGAAATGGTAGAATGCCAGAACCAGAAGCACGAAGAATTTTCCGTCAAATTGTACTTGCCGTTCGTTATCTGCATCAACAAAGAGTAGTTCATCGAGATCTTAAGGTCTATTTTATTGTGTTATATTGAAATTGGTTATTCTATGATTTTAATTGTTAATAAAATATTTTATAAATATTTGCATACTGTATGAATATAATTAGCATCTCTTACTTATTTTTAGGCTGAAAATTTGTTACTTGATGCAGACAATAATATAAAAATTGCTGATTTTGGCTTTAGTAATGAGTATACACCTGGTGTTCCACTTAGTACATGGTGTGGTTCACCACCATATGCTGCACCTGAAATTTTTGAAGGAAAGCATTATGATGGTCCAAGAGCTGATGTATGGGTATGTTACCACTTTTATATGCATATATATATAAATTTTATTTAAAAATTTGTATGTATAGTTGTTTAAATATAATTTTATTCTTTTATTATAAATAAATCTTATTAATAATGCATGCGCGGGCATATACATATATACACACACGCGCACACGCAACTCGAACACACGAACACACACATACAGACATACGTGTTAAATTAATTTTGAAAAACTAATTTTTTGAAGTCATATACGTTACAGCCATTTTTTAAATGCTATTGTATAATTTTTTTTACGTTACAATACAACTTTTATAATTAATTAAAAGTATTATACTTGAAATATTGAAAAATTATTGGATACAGGATAACAGATCTAGAAAGAATGGTGACATTGGATATTTTATATTCAGATATCCGGTAGGGTAATTATCTGTCTAAATACTAGATATTTTTTGGATATTTGTGATACAGTCTTTCTATTGTATTAAAAAAGATATACAAAGCAAGGGAAAAATAATGATAATTTTTTTTATCCTCAACATGAAAAAAAAAAGAAAGAAAAGATAAACTATCATAAATTTAGCCGAAAACAATTATATTATGTAAACAACATTACAAAATTTCATTTAAAAAAATGGTTACATCTTCATGGAACACTGAAGAATTTATTTTTTTTATTTTATCATTATTCATTCTCCTTCAAATTATACAATTTTTATTTGAAATGTTTTCTTGTAACTTTTATATTAATTTTGTGAGATATTTTAATGTATAAAAATTAAAAATAGGACATTGTATACATGTAATATAATTTAAGAGAAAAGTATTTATATAAAGTAATTATTAAGCAAAAGTTTTTTTTTATTTTTGAATGTGATGTTACATTTGTCTTTTTTTTTTTTACCATAAAATATGACTTAAAATTTTCCTTTTCCAAGTTTTCAAAATTTGATTTTGATACATTTAGAAAGCTTTGTTGTTATCTGATTCGTGTATTCTTTTCTAGTGATTTTCGAGATATCTAACATTTTATTTAATTTATTGTGCTTTCAGATTAGTTTCAACTATTTGATAAAATTTTGAATTTGATCAAGTTTTTCTGACTTTTTGCCACTGTTTGTCGTAATAAATTCAAAAATGCTTTCGTTGCTGAGTAATCCTTATGTAAGCGATAATAAAAGAAAAAAAAATTAGAGCGCTTCTGGCACTGTCGGAATTCGAAATTTTGAACCGCAGTTTGACCTCCTAGTTTTTCTTACTAAGCAGACACTATTGCTATACCATACAATCCCTACATGGATACTCTTTCTGTTATGCTTACATGTATACATTTGAAAATTCTATCAGTTTGACATCACATTTGATCTTGAATGTCTCTAGTAACTCTTGTGGCCATCTCTGGTGACTTTTCTTACATGTGTTTTATTTTTGATGGCACTTCTCTGCAGAGAGCCTATATTTGCCATCATGATTTTTCCTTGATTGCTATAATTCATAAGATTGCTTCTTCTGTCTTCTCTTTGAAGGAAAGTGAATAGGAATCTCACTTTCTTGAAAACTGTAATTAATAATATGAGAAAAATATCAAGGTATTTTAGGTATTCTAGTCTCCAAGTTTCCAAGTTTCCCCTACTAGATTGGCACTCTGCTATTAAATCAAATACCCTTTGCGCTTTCTGTTGTGTCTACTTACTGACATACACAAATCTTACACTGTAAGGAATTATATGATGTAGTTGTCTATGGATGAATTATTAATAAAAACAGTTCTAGATAGAAGATTATGAGAGTATCCTATTTGACCGATGTTCCGATCGGATATGTTACGATTGATCATGCGTTGCATTTGACAATGTTGCGATTGACTACGTTACAATTAACCACGTCCCGAGTGATTATGTTGATATTGATTATATTGCGATTGATTACGTCCTGATTGATGACGGTGATATTGACACGTCCCGACTAACTACGCTGATATTGACAATGTTCTACTTAATCACGTTATGAATGATCATCTTCCACGTGGATTTACAACTTTCCATGCCGAGTGTGGAAGGTTCAATATAAAGATAAGAGTATGCTCGTCCGATGTTGTACAATTATATATAAAATGACTTTCAACATTCACACAATACAATATTATTGTGCAATACTATTGGAATATTGCAATGTTGCTGCATTACTGTTATAATAGAATTTATATATTGACTAGAGGTGTCATAGTTATATATCTATTAACATTCAGGTTTATAGCAGCTCCTGTACAATCGCAGAAGTCGAGCAGCTAGGGGTAGCTTAGGGTGGGTAGCCACTTAGGAGCCAAGCACTATGAAATTAATTCGAATTTACGGGGAAACTTTTTTATCTTAACTTTGCTGCGTGTTTCTGAAATATTATGCTAATCATTAATATTTATTTTAGTAATGAAAGTATTTTAATTAATTTTATAGCTTTCCTTTTTTTGCATATATAATTATATATAGTCTTACGAGGTGTGGACCATTTGAATTTATCCTGTCGATTTTCTTAAAATCTGTAAGTTTGAAATAAAAACAGATAGAAATTTTATGATTTAAGGGAAAAAGAAGTTGGTAACCTTGGTTGACCTTAATCAGACATTTTTAAGGTCAAATCAAAGTTATCTAAAATTTAAAAAAATCTTATATAGGATACCCCATATTTTTTTTATTATATATTCTTGTGTAACTGGCTCTAAGACGTTTTCAAAACACTATAATAATATTATCTTTAATGAAGTATTATCCAAGTTACGCACTAAAAATGCATTTTAAATAAAGAATAAGAGAAACAATTTTCAACAGCTTTAACTTTGATACATGATGTCAAGATAATTATTTTGAATAATGTTCAAATGATTTTAGCCGTCAGTCAAATATCTTGGAGAACGCAAATGCTCACTGCAACTTTAAAGCCTCATAACTTGGAAAATGCTTAACAAAAAATAATATTGTAGTATTCTGAAAAGGTCAGCTACACACAATAATAGGTAATAAAAAAAACAGAAGAATCCATTAGAAAATTTTTTATAACTTTGATCTGACCTTAAAAACATTAAGATCAATCAAGATTATCAACTTCGGTTTTCTTTGAGCCTGTGGCGACCCGCCACCAGAGGTCCAACAGGACTCGCGCCAATTCTCGCAAGTATTCGAGACACGCGAATACTCTTCATATGGAACCTCGATCTAAAAACTCTCCCATGCGTTTAAGGTAGGCTCTTATTACAATGCCTCACTGACGAATCCAGTAGTTGGGACCGGGACAAAACGCCGCGGTAGACCAAACCTCGTCATGTTGGCCTTCACAAAAACGTAAAGCTGCGTCCAGACTATCGAGCTAAAATGCGAGCCGAACCTCGAACTGAGCCGAGCTGCGCGAGCCTTGAGCCGAGCCTCGAGCTGAGCAGAACAAACGAGAACAGTAGCTATTCTTGTAATATTGTCCATTGTATATGCGCGTATATTTAATTATATAAAACAGATAATTAAAATCACGTACAATATGAATCGCTTGCCACGCTCGTGAAATTTGGTTAAAGCTCGATTTGATTTCGACTCAAAGTTCAGCTCGATAATTCCGGCTCGAAGCTCATCAGCTTTCAAGGCTCGGCTCGGCTCGAGGTTCGGCTCGCGTTTCGACTCGATAATCTGGACGCAGCTTTAAAGGTCACATTGGTGACCCCGACGTGATCTGAACACGCTCACGCATGCTCGCACGCGCCACGCATGCTCGCACACGCATGATTACACACGATTAAACTTACAGATTTTAAGAAAATCGACAGGATAAATTAAAATTGTCTACTCCGTAAAATGTATATAATTATATATGCGAGAAAAATAAAAACCATAAAATTAATTAAAATACTTTTATTACTAAAATAAGCGTTAATGATAATCTTGTATATGTAGTTATCGGTTTCACCAGGCCGCCGACTAATTCAATGTTGTCAACGCGGAGTTCTTGGCTGAGTACTCAGGAGCCTTAAGATCTCTTTAATAGATGCCTATTGAGCATCAAAGTTTAATTGTGATATTATTTCAATTAGTTCTATTTGTAAGTCCGGAAAAATTTCGGCGTGTAGTTCTAAATAATTACAAATATGGTGTATATGCATGTACATATTAGCTTGTTCGATAAGTTCGTTTCAATTTTCTAGCTCAAAATTGTATATATAACAGTTGAAAAAGATGAAAAATTGTCTTTTTATTTACTACATTACTACAAAATCGTTTTTCAAAAACGTTTCTACGATTTTTGTTCTTGAGTTATTCACAAGTTAAGTAAAAGAGCATTTTGATCTTAATTGCTCATAAACTTCGTTAAAAATCATCGTACCGCAATTAAGAAATCAGATTCTTAAAGCTGAAATTTTGTTTTATCAAATGGTATAATCGCTAATTTTTTAAATGTACACTATTTTGAGCTAAAAAATCAAACGAACTTTGTGATTCTAATATATGTATAGTATATACAGAATATCCTATTTTAGACACCGAAATATCTTGAAATGTACAAAAGATACGATTTTAAAGAAAAGTTGTAAGGTTTGAAGAGTAAGGGGGGGGCATAAGAGGATACTATTTGTTTGACCCTGGGTGGTATTGTCAAGATTAGGGCAAGGTTACTTTCAATTTTTTAAATAAAATTTCCTATTTTTTATTATTTATTCTTGTAGCGCACTTCAAAAGTTTTTCAAAACTATAATAAAAAATATTTTTCCATAAAATATTTTTCGAGTTATAAGTCTTACAAGGGCAAATCAATAAGTATCCGTATTAGTATCCATGTTTTTCATAAATTTTTTTTTCAACGTAATCTCTTTTTAGGAAGGTACACTTTTCCCAACGCCCTTGCCATTTTTTTAATAGGACGATAACTCGCAAATTTTTTGGTGTATCTTCTATAATAAATCTGTAAAATTAGTATATATTTTGTTTCTGTCTTTACTTTTCAAACATTTTCATTTAATTACTTTTAGGATTCGTAATATTTTATTATAGCACATTTTATTTGTTAACTTTGTTGACAAAGCTATAATAAATATGACATTTTGTAGTACATTTTATATCTATTTAGTGTTTTTATAATAATTATCTTCAAAATTCGTACTAAGTGGTATAATTCAGTATTAAACTTTTATAAATAAATTTTTGTGAAAATGTTATATGTATATTTTGCATTACATTTTATATTTGTTTTCTGTTATTTTTAATAATTATTTTTAGATTAATAATTTTATCCCCAGTATTACAGCATATTTAGTTTTGATATTTATTACTTAATATATAATTTAGAGTGTAAAAATATACATTTTATATTTTTATTTTTCAGCGTTTTTAATAATTATTAAAATTTATTAGCATTTTATCATAATTCAGTGGTCAGCTTTTTCGTTTAAAAATTAATAAAGATATTGCATGTGTATTTGCATTACTTTTTATATTTCTTTTTTTTTTTATTTCTGATTACCTGTAGAATTTATGGTAATGCAGTACATTTTCAGTGTTTAAACATTTGTTAATAAATCTTTGAAGATATTGTACATTTTGCATTACTTTTTATACTTCTCTCTCTCTCTCTCTCTCTCTCTCTCTCTCTATAATTTGATATTGAATATATTATTTATACCGAAATATATTCAACATATATTAAAAGAGGATATTATTAATATATCTTATATTTACATTACTATAATTGCAATATATATAAAGTGCAATACATACTATTTCAGAGTCTTGGCGTTGTCTTATATGTATTAGTTTGCGGTGCTCTACCATTTGATGGACCTACAATGCAGTTGTTACGATCTGTGGTTGTCTCAGGGAAATTCAGAATACCGTTTTTTATGTCTGCAGGTAAACAATCTAATAAGCAATATTTTATACTTACTATTATTTAGTAACTATCAAGGGGAGGTTGCACAGAATTAACTAAGCACCGCTTTTATTATAATTGTACTTACAAGGGAACCTCTCGAGGTGTCAAATTTTGATTTTAATGAACTTGTAGCTTGCATAAAGAGATGGATTTAGAAAATATTAGTTGCGGCCAAAAAACGGTTTGAAGGGGCGAAATCACCCCATACATATACAGTAGTTTTCAGCTTTTTCTGTTAGAGTCGAAAAGTCGTGAATCATTTTGCATTTTTCATAATAGTTAATTAGATATTAATTATTAAATATCATCGAATAAATCCAGCTCACCGCCAAATACAAGTGCGCGGCGAGATATCATTTAGAGTCATAAATTACTAGGAGCACGAGAAATTATTTATTACAGGCGACTATGGTTATGTACTAACGCGACACTTCCCCGTCACGTCATAATTATAGCGTTTTTTTTTCTATTAAAATGAAATAATTTAAAAAAATGGGAAGTAATTTCTTACTTTAACTTATTATGTAACGAGTACAGGAACCAGCTATTTTTTCAATGATAGGTATTAATGGTTACATGACATGAACTAAGAAAACCATAGAAAAACAGACAATAAAAAAAATATAGTATTAAGTATAATTTCTATTGTCGATAAAAGAGTATATTTGTTGTATGATTTAAGGAGCGCTGAAGGACGCGCGACTCTTTTTGATTCACTTGTTATTCTATAATTCGTGGTGCCCTTCTAGAAATGTTATCATGTTTTTTGAGTTTTAAGAGTTTTCTATACGAATGTAACTACTGCGAATAAATATGTATACATATATAACTTGATCGGTTGAACCGTTATTCAGATTCAGTAATCTCGATTCTCCACACTCAGTCTCTCGTAAAGTACATGATAATATCGCTGCGCTTGTCTTAGCGCCGAGACACTATCGTGTCTCCATATACAGTAGTGCCATTAATCAATTAAATCACCTATCAAAAGCAAGTAGAGTAGACCGAACTGAGTCGAAAAATCTTATACCATTTTGCAGTTTGCGCAATATTTAACGAGATATTAGACTTTAAAGATAAAATACTGAATAGTGTCACGTACTACTACTGTGAATTTCACTAAAATTAAAAAAATGAGATTAATTAATTCAGTTTTGTTGATAAAATTATATTATTGATTAGTATCATATTTCTGACGATAAAATGATATAAAAAAATGATAAAAAGAATTTCCCCTGAATTCGGTAATTAATTTTATGGTGCTCTCAAGCGGTCACTATCCTAAGTTGTACTCCCACATTGCGTGCTTGACATTTGCGATCTTATGAAAACTACTCCCTTGATAATTCAAAAACACCTATGATGTCAATAGACGTACAGTTCTAACATATCTGATCAAAGATGTGAAAAAGATGGAATACATAAAACAATATAATTATACAGGAAAATATGAAAATATACTTAATATCATTAAAATATACTTAATTGTCTTTTTTGATATAAAAAATCAACGCTTAAAAACTAATTTTTGCGTATTTGTAACAATTTTGCAATACTTTTAGCGAAATAAATATTTAATACATTTTTAGAGAAATATTATAAAAATTTTTGGAAACATTTTCGGGCATAGATCTATACTCGATGAACAATTTTGAGATATGCCTAAAATTTGAAGGTATTAAACGAGACTCAATTTCATAGAAAAGGTTTCCTAAGTGCTAAAACTATACAAAGTTTGCTATTATGTACCACTAGTCTTATCCGATTTCTATATGTCTTGGGCACCTTCCGTGTGATGACGATAACGGATTATATCAAAGACATTGAAATAATGAAATGTATTTGGTACATACCAGAATATTACTGCTTTTGCAAAATGACTGTTATATGATTGGGTATTGTGATGACAATTATATGGTATCTGGAATATGCAAATCTTGACAGCAACAGCAGTTAATGTTTTTTACTTCTATAGAGAGTTAGGTTAAGGATTTGATCCAATGAGAAAGCTGAAGAGAGATCAGGCTTATATGCTGACCACATTTCAATTAAGCAATTAAAACCTTTTATTTTGTATTCTGTGAGAGTCTCTCCCTCCTTCCTATTAATTAGTGTATTACCTCTGACTTGTTCATTCAGAGCCCAAAAAAGGTTTTACTTATCTTTGTTAAGATATATTGGGCATATCTCGAATATTATATGACTCGAGAAATCGAATAAAACCAGTGATACATGATACAAGATATAGTTAGAATAGTGAACTTTGAACAGCTGTAGTCTCAAGGGACTCATTTTATGAAGTTATACATGTGGAATTTTTTAATCCTTTTATAATGTCTTAGCTATGTTTTAATGCTGTTCAGTTAGGGCCCAAACTGGACATAATCTTTGCGGAGAAATTTCAATTTAATTCTATCATTTTTTTAAGATTTTTACTGGAAAAATCACTTTAACGAAGTTGAAATATAATTTAATTTCATCAAACCTTTAGCAAAATTTTTTAATTAAAAACCTTATATTCTGCCTCTGCCTTTTAAAGATCGCACATAGATCAATCCCGAGTTATAGAAATTAAATTCTTTGACTCGAAATTTGGACTGACGTTTGCAATACTTGTTGGAAATAGGCATTATGTAAACTTGTGTAAAATAAATAATATTTTTATTTTAGATTGCGAAAAGTTGATTAGGCACATGTTGGTGGTAGAACCAGAGCGACGTTTGAGTATTTCTCAAATTTTAGCGCATTCATGGATGAGTGAAGATGGAGTAATAGAATTAGAACCTGGAGGGTATGTAACTTGATATAGATTATATATTATGGTATATTTTAATAATATAAATGATATCTTTCAAAATAAAAGCAATACTTTGAACATAATTATGTCAGAAATTTTGTCAACTTTAGTAGATTTCTGAAAGTAAAATTCTGATTAAAGAGTTGTCTGTACACGATGATATAACATTTATATTAATTGATATATCATGCTAGTATATAAACGTATATTACATTATAAACTCACATTAAATTATATGCTGAAGAAATGACCTATGGTCACGAAACATACTGATATGTAATAGATGTCTTAATTAAAATTTTACATCCTTTATTTAGCTCGATTGAGCGAATTTTTTACTTTTATACAAATTTTTATTTAGTATTAGTATTGCGTAAAATGAACGATTACTTATTTATATAAAAATAGTTTAATTGTAAATACAGAAATAATAATATAATTAATGTAGGATATAGGACAGTTTTTAATATTGTATATAATAAAACATTTTTGATAATTACTTTTTAATGAATAATTAAAACCTGTTGGAGGTTATGACTTACCTTAGGGTCACGATCTTGATAATATATGTCAAGATCAAAATTATTGAGGTGGATTCTTCATTGATATATTTACCAAAAATAGATCTGATACCTAGCTTTATTAAATCGTTTGTGTCTAACTTTTCAGTAAAAGATACATACATGTATATATTATTAACAAACTTTACATGCACGTATCACGCATGTATTTTTCATGCGCAATAAAAATTTAGAAAAATTTTTTCAAAATCTGAAAAGAATTTTAAAATTATTATATGCATTTTTTGATATAATAATAATTTGCTTTATAATAATTTTAATTGCTTTGAAAAAAAAGAATTATTAAAAATTTTGTCATTATATTTTTTTTATTATGTCTTTTTACATTTTCAGATGTAATTCTGATGTAAGCGTGCCACCACCATTAAATCAATTAGTAATAGAAAATATGTTAAGATTGCCTGGACTTAGCGCAGATACATTATTACAAGCCGTTAAAGGAAATACTTTTGATCATGTATCAGCTATATACAATTTACTTGTTGATCGATTAGAACCAACAATGCCTAATTTACACAGTATTCAAAGTATACCAGGTGATTATTTGCCAGATGGTGCACATCAATTAGAGAAGGTAATTATATTATTTTTTTTAGAAAGAAATATATATTTGACTTGTTTTTATCCTTATTTTTACAGGTACTTATTTGATTTTCACAGTAAATTGTGTAACTTAGAAGTACACTATTAAATTATTATGCAATTTTTATTTGTTTACACAATTTTTACATTTAGTTTCACAATTTATTGTGCAAATCAAGAATCTTACGTTTATAAAATAAAAGAAGCTTATATACTTTATTATTTCTTTATATTTATTATTTAACAATATGTTAATAAATTGTTTATATTATATCATTTTTTGGTAGTTTGGTGAAACTGAATCGGAAACGGAAGAGAAAAGTGGTCTTTATTTGCCATCTGGAACACCTTACCATACAACAAGAAGACATACAGTTGGACCTGGTGATGCAGTGCATCAATCTCCTTCGTCATATCCTTATCATCACATGTCAGGCTATCAAACTTTACGGCCTCTTCCTGTTCTTCAGTGTAATATGGATCCTCAAGTTTTACCGCATACCAATTTACCATTAAATCTTCCTTTAGTTCAACATCAACCACCACAAAATTTCCAAATAAAGGATCAACATTTGTTGAAGCCGCCTCCTGTAATGGGTGCCAGTAAGTTTCATCTTGTTTTATGGAAAATATATTTTTAAAAATTTATTTTTTTAAAATAAATTCTTTGTTTTATTAAATTAGTCGATTAGTAATAAATATGCTACTGAGCTTTTTTTATTACTATATATTATTACATTCAGAACTAATTTTTATAAAATTGTATTGTTTTGATTTATTTTTGTGTTTTTTATATGTACCATTTTTTAATTTAAATGATAATTTACTTGTATGAGGTATTTCTGTAAAATTAATTATTGAATAATAATACAATATAAATATAAGTAAATATTTATGTATAATATTAGATTATGTTATAATATGAATGTAATATGAATATTTGAAATTTATAAAGATATTTATATACATAAAGTTTTAAAAATTGAATTAAAAAAATTTTTTTTTAGTAAATTATCGATTGATAATAAAAAATAAAAAAAGCGTGTGCATACATATACACGTACGCATTCATAAAGAAAGAGGGGGAAGGATGAGAAGAAGGGGAAGAGAAAGATACACGGGCACACAATACAAACACATATGCAAAGATTAAACAAAATTACGTAAAAAATTTATCAAAATTAAATTAATTCATTAAAAACAAATTTGAAAAGTAAAGGCTATGAGTCAACGCAAAATGTATATTGCTAATATTAAACTTTAATGATATAAATTTAAAATACAAACGTTTCAACCTGCATTAGGTCATCTTCAACGTAGAGTTAATCAGTTGAAATGAAATTAAAAATAAAAATACAAATAAGTCACATTATCTACAACATAAACATCCATACGATTGTTTTTAACCTTCTAACATGATCGAATACTTCGCTCGCAATTCCTTCATTATTCATTCTGGGCTGATAATAAAATTCTTGTTATAATGACTCCGCTTCAACAAATGCCACTTTGTAATTTCGATTTGGTGGCCAGTAATCTTATTATTGTCAGTGAAATATTAAATTTAATATTGTCAATTTTTTAATAATTTTGAAAAGATTACAAAGGTCTACGTATCGTCAAAACTGTAAATTTTGTTACAATATTGTTCTTTCACAACCGTTTAAAATAAGACTTAACTGTTTAATGATGAAGTGAAAAATGACGATGATGATTGCATTGACTCGTAGCCTTTATTTTTCAAATTTATTTTTAAATTATTGAGTCCACAAATATACTGACTTTGTTAATTCATTAAATATATTGAGGTACGTAAATCGAACATATATACAGAATATTTTAAAACCTTAGGGAGAAATTTTAAGAAACGATAAATATCACCGAAAGAAAAAACTTTGGTTGAGGAACTTATGTTTTTAACGCATTTTTAAGAAGCTACTAGTTCGGACCGACTGTGAGGTATATGATTGCCTTGTAATATTGTGTTTCATTTGATAATTCTAGTTCAAATTTTTGCTTTTTGTTGTCTTTTTGAGAAAATATATGAATTATAGTGTTCGCCAGTCGTCACATGCGACTGGACGACTAACTCCTTAAAAATCGATTGAAGGCATAAATTTCTTTAATAAAAGTCTGTAAATGTGAAAGAAGTATTTAGTTTTGATGACCTTATGTTAATATTTTTATGTACATAGTAAGATGAATCAATGCAAAAATACGAATTAAACGATGTAAAGAAAACACACAGTTTCTTATTTAAAAAATTATTTATTTTGTCTACACATTTTTTTAAAGCACTGTTTTTCTTTATACCAATTGATTTATCTGATTATTCTATTCATAAAAGTATTAAAAGTGCGATTAATCAAAAAATTAATTGTTTTAATGAGATACTCGATATTTTATCAATAATTGATACAATGAAATATAAAATATCCCATAAACTATTGATTTGTTAAAATCTTAACTTAAGTATTTTTATATGCAAAACAATTGAGGGATCATATTACATAAAAAAATATAATTTTATTTAAAAAAAGTGGTAGTAACTTTCATATCTTTCTGGCGCTTTTGCTTGAAAAAAAAAACAACGTGATTAAAATACGTCCTCTTCGAAATTATTCTATTTTCAAATGTTTTTCCTTACATATTTTTCGAGATATTTTCCAAGATAAATTAAAATGAGGCACTCTGTATATTAACTTTTATTTTATTACAAAGATTAATTTTATACTTAAAATTTTTATTTTTTTGCTTTGGTTAGTGTAATTGTATTTTACCGTGTATGTTTACAGCTGGAGGATTTGGTAGAAGAGCTTCAGATGGTGGAGCAAACCTTCACATATTTCATCAACAACATAGTAGTAACATTAATAATGATGAAGATAGTGGCTGGAGTCAACCTGGTAGCAGGGAACAATTACAGCCAGTAAGTAAATAATTAAATATATTGTAATTATATATAGATTAATTAAGTAAAAGTGCAACTAACAATAAGTGGAAGATACTCGGTGAATGTGTGTGTGCGTGCGTGCGTGAGTGTGTGATCACATCCTAATTTTAATATTTAATGTTTTAATGAAAATAAAGTCAAATTTTGTAATATATATATAGTTTATTTTTTATATTTTGATAAATAATACAACTTTATTATTATAATTTTCATTAAAAAAATTGATTTAGTATAAATAAAAATATATCTATAAAGAATGTAAATGTTCTAATAGTTGTGTAGTAGATTATTCTATTAAATAATTTCATATTTCTATTGTCTAAAAGTCGATGCGTAATGTCGAAAAATTCTTGGTATCTAACAAAACAATGGTAAACTTTTCGTTTCCGGAACTTTTCGTTTACCAAAATTCCGTTCAAATAATATTATGAGTTTTTACATAATTGCTTAAAGCTTTTTTATTATTAGTATATTAGGCACGAGTTAGGTACAGCGCAAAATGTATTATTTACTTTTGTTATATTGTACTTAAATTTTATTCATCTATAAATCTATAAATTCATCTATAATGATATTAGTCTTTTGTATTGCGTTTTGTTATATAAAGATATTGAATTTTAGTAAATGACGATTATAAAGATAAAGTATTAAAGTTTCAAAATAAAAGGAGTCTATATTATCTCTTATTGTCAAAGTTTTAATATTTTTAAAACATTACAAAAGAATTCGTATATAATATTATTATGTGTTGTTTGATCATTTTATTATCAAGTCATTCTTTAAGTGACATTGATAAAAAATTCTTTTTTAACGAAGTTCTATTCAAATAATAAATTCTATATTTCTTTTAAAATTAAAAAATGAAATATTATATTGTACATAGTAAAACTTACGTAATACAATTTTTAGTAAAATAGAAGAAGTAACTTCATTTGCGCTGTACATAATTTAAATATGATTTTGCAGTGCGCGCTCCACTCCTAAGTTACGTACAATTTAATACGCTACATTAGACAGTTTTAAATATTTTTTAATTACTTTATTTACAAAATTTTGATAAACAAAAAGTTGCTTTATTTGGTACCAAGAATCTCTTAATACTCGACATGAGATCATTTTGGAACTCTTTGTGTATATTATTTTGCATTAGCCTTTGTTTTTCTATAAAATCATGTTATATCAAGTATTCTATATTAATATACAAATTCAAAGTTTTAAATAAACGTATACAAACAGTTACAGAGTGGTAGTTCAGGAATAGTATCATGTGCTCAATCATTAAATGTTGCTGTCAGTACTGCGACTGGAGACGGGAGTAATAACAACAGCGGTAATAATAGTGGAAATAGTGATAGAAGAAGAAGAAGTGGCCTTAGCACTGTTATGCAGCGACCAGGTATGATGTAGTTAAAAATTGAATAATGTGTTGAGTTTTTTCTTTTCGACAATTATAAAATAATTATAACTGTATGGCTTGTAGTATTATTTAATATTTATACATTGTTCAAAATTAGCACTATCATATGTCCCAAGCTGTGCCTTTTCTGTTATAATTTATTGTTTCTGTTATCCATTCTTTTTTATAAATGCTTTTATTACATATTAGAGTTGCTGAGAAAGTATGTGATAGCACATTAAAACAGTAGATAACAATACAGGTTATTATTCTGAATCATGATTTATGGTTGATAGTATTACACGATATTAGATAACACACAACGTTCATAAAACGTCTACGAATATTTATAATCTTTTAGAACATTTTATGAACGTCTTAAATCTCTATAAATTCTGTGCTATATGTATATGTAGATATATTGATAATTTAATCAGAAGTTAATATTGTACACAATAGCTTTGTAATTCTTTATTTAAATACGATAAGATTGTTGTAAAAAAGTTATTGTGTTAATTTGTATTGTATAATATATAAAAAATAATATAATGTATATAAACAAAAAAGATTTATATTTGAAACAATATTATATACAATTGTTATTTAAAACTGTTTTTTTTATATTGTTTTAGATATATTTATTTATAGAAGTAAGGATGTGAAAAAATTATGTTAATTCAGAAAATATAAAATTATATATATATATGTACAAAATTCGATTCTTTTACTTTATTATTTGAAATACAACAAAGTATAATTTCTTAAAAAATTTAAAAATAAAATAACGTAAGTACATAAAAAGAATATCAAATGTTATTAGAGATAAATTTGTTACTTTACAGTAAAGTAAAAATAGGTTTTTCACAGTAAGAAATGGTTTTTAACCGCAATGATATAAAATTCATGAAAAATATATATAACAAGGGAATCCAACTAACTATCCTTCTTTAATTTTAATGAATTTTTAGTAAGTTGTTCTATGGATAAAAATAAGAGGGACGTATTTTTTTATATTGTTTGACGATGAATCACATCAATGAATGACATTCAATTCTACTTAAAAAAAAAAAACATAAAATTTGAGTTTTCATAAGTCTAAAAAAGATCAAACCATTTATACGCAGAGCTATTTGCGTTTTGAAGTAGATTGATTCTAAGGTTTTTGTGAAAACCATTACTTTTCTTTTTATAATAATAGAAACATATTAATTACGAATAAGAATAAAATGCTGTTTGTACTCCTATTTATAGATCACTTCGGAATAAAAAAATTAGATATTGTTAAAAGAATTAATAACGAATTCTTTGAGTAAATAGTAGCAATAGCTTCTTCCTTCAACAAATATAGAATTATTATCTAATAGTTCTTTAATTATCATTTAATGATACTAAATAACTTTTTTTACAATCTAAACTTTAAAAAGAAAAGTTAATGATAAAAGTTTAATGATTAAGTTTAATGATAAAAATTATATTATTGATGTCATGTGTGGACTTGTAAAAGTATAACTTATAGGTTATTTAGAAAAATATGTAATGATAAACTCTAAGATACTATTATGTGTGTGTGAAAAACTGTATTTCTTAAAGAAAAGATCGAATTCAAAATCGTTGAAAAAAATTTAATTTAATTTGATTTTGATTTAAATAATTAAAAAATTTTTTACTTCGATATAATGAGAATATTTAATATGATATACACTATTCAACAAAATTAAAGGATTATTTGTTTCATTCTGCAAAAATAAGCAAATTTCAAGATAGAATAACTTCGTCAAAAATTATTGTATCAAGATGTTTAAAAAAGCATTTTACAGCTTGAAATTTCTACTTTTCCCTACTTTAAGAAACGTTATTATATATAAAAATTATATATAAGTACAGAATTATATATACAAATATTACATAAAAATTATATATAAAGTACCTACATAAAAAGTTATATATAAAAAAAGTTATTCAATCTTGAGATGTGCCTATTTTTACAGGATGAAACAAGTGGATCTTTTAATTTTGTTGAATAAGATAAAAACGATGAACTCGTAAAAATTATATCGGGTTTTAGTTTGTTTATAAAAAACAATTTAATATTTTAAAGAAACACATACGCACGTGCATACGCTCGCACACACATGCACACATACAATAGTGATATGATTAAGCTTTATATTTTGATATTGTCTCTATTATATTTTAAGCCTTATTTTTTAGCATTTGCACATTATTTATATTTTATTGAATTTTATTTTTGATTTTGCATGTTTTTTTGTGTCCGCTGCACTTCCGTGCTCTTCTTGGTTGGTAATATGCATGTAGTTATAAATCCGGAATTGGTAATGGAAGTAGAAGCTAGGATGAATAGGGCTTACCTACCATCGCGACTGTTACCAACTCACCTTAGAGGATCAACACTTCCACACCACAGGAAATCTTCATTATATCATACTAGCACTGGTAATGGAGATTTTTGCACTATTGTAATTTGTGAATTTTTCTATATAATTGAAAAATATGACTAAAGTTAAATATTTGTAATTTTAATATTATTAAAGTTTACGATGTACAAATAATTTAAAGAGTTTTCTTAACTTATTTATATTATATTTTATTGTGTCCTTAACTTATATATATTATATTAGAAGTACAATATCGAAAAGTATACATTCAATTTTGTACAATTTAGATACTAAACTTTAAAAAAATGTTTTAATATAATTCTAATTTGACAATATTATTTCAATAAAACTTTAAATACATGCTTCAAAATAATGATTTTTCCAAAAATTGGTCATTGCTTATATTTGATAAAGAAATAATAATAAAGTAATTATTTTCAAAAATTAATTTTTTAATAATTTTGATTTTGAAATATATACGGGATGTCCAGTTAAGACTATAACAACGTTTAAAGATTTTTGAGATTATTTTAAGACGAAAATCCTAATACTAGAATGTCGAGGGTATAACAGTTTTTTAATCATAAGCATTTAAAAAGTTCGCGAATCGTATCGTCTAAAATTCACGCGTTCAAATGTAGTAAGTAAAGACCAACACAAAGTGCCAACAACACTTAAACACGCGAGTTTTAAGCGATATAATTCGCTAATTTTAAATGCTTACATATATAATTCAAAAACTTATTTTTATATTCAAATTAATTTAGATAATCTTGAGCTAATTTTAAGTACATCTTTTTAAATTCTACCAATATCACTATCTTCTTTCTTCCTTATAACTAAGCAACTTTTGTCTGAAACATTTTTGTCTTAAACTTAAGAATTTTGAGATATTCTATTTTTTTGTATTAAAATAAACTGCATATTAAGAAATAAATAAATAATAATTAAAGAAGATTTATTGAAATAAGTTTAAAAAAATTTGTTGTATGTAAATTAATTTAGAGTTTTATTTTAATATTAATTATTAAATTTAATATTTATCATTAAATATTGCAATTTTAAAACCTAATATCTTATATAATTTTATAAATATCGGAAAAAGTAATAAATTATTATTTTTTAAGTAACGGTAACGAGTTATTTTTATAAAGTTTTTTTTTATGAAGTAACATTCTTAACCTTGCTATGTATATGTAAACTTTAAATAATTAGCTAGTCTCGTCTAAGTTACAAAATATTGTATACAAACCGATCTTACTATTTGCAGTGCGCGCGTGTTACTACCGTACCTCCTAATTATTTTTTGTTGCATTCTTTTTTTGGTATGTTCTGATTTCAAAAAAAGAGTTTTAAAAGAAGAGTGCTAAATAAAATATTTAAAGTGATCTAAAAGATTTATGAAAAGGACATTAATTCGAGTAAACATTCTTCGATGATATGCCAATTTTGTGAAGAAAGAAATTTCCGCAATCTCTTACGAACTCTAACATATCATTGGAAAACGTTTATTTGACGAACTCAATGCTTTACTCCATCAGCTTTTAAAAAGTTTATTAGGCAGATAAACCGGCTTTAAAATAACATTTTATAGCTTGTACATTGTACTTTTTTTTAATTCATGACATACTGAAAAATGTGAGATTACGAGAGTTTCTCTTTTCATGAAATTTAGTATCAAAAGATATTTGCTTGATTTAATGTTTTATTTCCATAAGCTTTTTACATCATTTCAAACACTTGTTCGATAAATTGGCTTTAAAATAAAATTGTATAGTGGTACGTTACTCTATTTTTAAATTTATAACGTTGAGTCAATAAAACTACGCAAAACAATAATTTGTTATCAGCTAATCGTACATTATTTAAATTTTATATATAAGCTAAGAATTACGGATATTTTTTAGGCAAATAATTTATAGATTATTATAGCGCTACTGATATTACCATAAAAAAATAAATTAAAAAATTTATTAATTGCAATGTATGTATAGTTATTGTATATGTTTCTGATTTTAAAGAGATAAGAATAATTTTCATTTTATAAGTGTGAGAGATATATTTGATAAAACTTAAAATATTTTATTTTATAAATTTTTTCTTATGTGAATTCGGTGAATAATTTTTAATTTACACACATGCACACGCACGCACACATTTGTATGATATTAGTTAGAGAAAATGTTTCTAATATGTACATTAATTTTAGTAAGTAATAGGGATTCGTATAAGGACCCAAGCAGCCATGTTGCTACTGAAAGATACTCACCTGTTCGTCGAGCATCAGAAGGATCAGGTGCACCTGGACCAGGTATCCAAGCACTTCAGCAAGAATATCAACAATTACAAAGATTAGCATCACCTTCACACAGTCCTGCGAGTATTCCTGGTTCTCCTGTTCACGAAAGAGGTGTAGCAGCAATTACGCAAGGTAATCATTTTTTTTATCGAATATTTTGTTAATTTAATATGTAATTAACATTATTATAATTTTTCAATATAAATAAGCGAAATCATATTTGGTCAAGGTGAACCTTGGTGCCTAATAATATTTTTGTGTGAATTTTATAGTTTTCAATTCATGCAAAATGCGCATTTAATGGAATTCATTTTACGTCATTTAGAATGTTTCTGCAAAAATTCATGAAAATCAGGCGGTCTTTTGTACCTATATTAAAAATCTTAAACTCAGATATCCCTTATCTTTTTTTTTTAATTAACATTTATTAAAATTTTCAAGTCATTAAATCGATTATAATCACTTGACAGAATAATAGATCTCTAGGAAAAGAGAAAAGAAATAAAGTATTACAACGTATCAGAACCAATAAATTTTTTCTGATGCTCATAAGCGGTATAAATATACATATTTTAGATTAATGTTTTCAATTCTGTATTCAATATTATATTTCAACAGTGCAGCACAGTAATATTTATTATAGTAACACTGAGTAGACCGGATTTGTATTAATTGTCATTTTTGGTCTTTCCATTGTTCGACAAATTTTTTATTAATTTATAAATGATCTGTAAACTAAGTTAATACATGGCATTTGTGTGTTCCTGGTAATCAATTAAAGCAAGAAAGCCCGCAAATACAATAAACCTTAAACTTTCAAAAATTGATCAATTACAGTCAAATATGAGAAAAATAATCGACTATGATTGGTCAATTTCTTAAGCTTTACTATACCTATTGTGTTTGGGGGGAAGGAGTAACTCCATATGACAAATATAAAAAAACTTTTTGAGAAAAGAAATTCAAATTTAATATATCATAATTTTTTTCCATTTATCTATAATAGGTCTTAGTGGTTTAACTACGACGTCGGTACAGGGTAGTATCGTACACGGTACGCCGGCACAACCACCGGCCACACCTTTAGATTTGAGTCCACTTAGGCATCATAGATCACCAGCAACTACTCCTGTGAGTTACTCTCCCAGCAATAGTCCAGCGTTGGATATGATACAAGAAGAACATCCTGTAGAAATATCAAGGGTATGTATCACTTTGTTATATTTAAAAAAATTTTTGAAAAGTTGGTGGTTGCAAAACATAATATTTTACAATATCAAAATTCTGATATAAAATATTGATATTAATCTGCTTTACGAGTTTTTGTTTACAGAATTTGATACGTATATAAATTTACATTGAAATATTTAAGCACTAAGATCTGCTTTGACTGAAAATAGAATTATTTCTCTTAATTGATTTTAATATGAAACATAAAATCTCATAAACCATTCACAGTTTTTGGTAATCTTACCTAATACAGTGATCGGATTTAGTTGCAACTTGGCCTAATTTTCATTTGATGCCCTCTAACAGTTGCAAAAAACCCACGCAGCACACTTTATTCAAGGGATGTCCTAGAGATATCACTTTGAGATATCGCATTAATCTCACATCGGGGATGTCTCGGACATCTGGTGAATATCCAGCAGATGCACTAATGTCCGCCTCAATGTTATCCTACGGATATTTTAGACGAAGTCCAGAGGATATCCAAGAACTCCAGAAATATTGTAAGATATAATGCTTTGAGATGCGACATATACACACATCTTGAATAATTATTATTATGTATCATACTATTAGACGCATGATTCACGCGAATGTACATTTTTGTAAAATATAAATATCTGGAGACACACGGTAGTGTCCTCGGTGCTAGGATAAGCGCAACGACATCATAAGGCGAGATCGGCCGTATTGAAGATTCTTTTATTACGCAAACTGACGAGTTGTGAGGGACTGAGATTATCGGATCTCAATAACGGCTGAACCGATCAAGTTTTATGTATGCTCAATGAATACAGGAAACGAATATAAGATTATACGATGATCTTGAGTTTATGTTGTGTCGTGAGTAAGAATTACGCTCAAGTTTTAAGAAATAGAGCGATCACTGTAAGTAATAGTAATCAGCTTTTACATGCAATCCATATTATAATTTTCATCACGCGGTCGCGGAGGAATTGAACAAGTGCATATATGTCTTATATGCATGTACACACACACACACACACACACACACACACACATACGCGCGCGCGCGCGTGCGCAAAAAAAATATCGGTATTCATTGATAAAAAATATATCAATCGATGCTTTCTTGTAAAATGAATAAATCTAGCAGAAAAAAATGCGCTCGGCTATATTAAAGAAGTTATGAAATATTTAAGATTAGTACGTGTAAGATTAGAAAATCTGTCATAGCGAGAAGCCGAGCCCGTTTCTGTCATCTGTCATATTAATATAATTTCTAATTGAGAAAAAATGCTGCAGAGTTAAATATTAAATGATATTATGATTAACAATAAAAGTTTATTATTAGTATGTAGTATCATTCATTTTTAATACGTGATATATGTACGTCTTACCTTGTGTAGGAGGTGACTAAGATAATTCTTCAGTTAAACTTCCTTGATCACTTCACTATTTTGATAAAATTAGGTTCATTCGATGTGTTTTTGCATGAAACGATCGAATTTGACAGAAAAAAAAAACTATTGCTCTGTCCTGCGAACCGAGATAAGTATTAATTGTTGAGTTGACGATTATTCAGGAAATCTATCATAGCCACGCAAAGATGTGAGGAGAATGTGCTGCGGCTACATTTTATGTTCCACGCTAAGATATATGCATGCGTTTTAGGTATATGTTGTAATAGAGGGAAAGAACAAAAAAGTTAGGAAAATTTACACACCTTTGGATATATTTTATTTTAAAAGTAGAAAAGTACAGGTATATTAGAAATAAAATCAAAACAATGATAGCAGCACAAATAAAAAGTGGGTGGTTCACTTTTCAAACCCTTCTGTGCCAAATTTCAGCCAGAATTGATGCATTGATCACATTCGATCAACATTTCAAACGAGCGAGAAGTTTAGCAATTGCCGTGTATAAAAATGAAAAAAAAGAAACGAATTTCGTGTAAAAAATTACGATTACAAAACTCACAATTAGTGTGTCCCTTTTTTTGAGTTTAACCCCCACTCTGCAGACGCAGATATGATTCTTTCCACATTATATAAATAAAAATTATGTCCAGACAATATGTATGTTTATATAGAATATCAGGAATCGTTAAAAAATTTATTTCTTTTAGATGTCTTTAAGACATACGTGTTGTTTGGGTTTTATATTGATTGCGAATGTATATATACGTAAATACACATATACTAACATATATGTTAAAAGACTATATTTTTACTTCTGTTTTTCTATATAATTTACACGCGCACCCGCATACACACACGCGCACACGCGCGCATATATTCATATGCATATGAAATAATTGTTCAGCTAACATAAGCACACGTTGTAGTTGATTTGCACTTTTTAAAAAAATATGCGCTACAAAAACGTTTTTGTCATGTTATTAATTTATTTTTATTTTACGGTTGTAGTTTAAGGTTTGAGTTTTTATTTCAGCCAATATCCAAATTTCTATGACGTCCCATTTTTTCAATAACTTTAAAAATGGCCAAAAAGATGTTTTTGAACTCTTTAATGTAATTTTTTAAAAAAGGAATTTGCTAGAGCATTTTTCTTTAACTCGTAATTTATAGAAAAAAAATCAGAATCACCTACGACATATTATGAAATACAATTTTTGTCGTACAGTGTTATCTTCTATACGTACATGTATAGATTGTCTATCTTCTGTGTGTATATAATATATTTATTATTATAAAAGTCACCATCTTCAAATCTTTCTACAATGGACTGCATAATATAAATAAAATTAAATATAGAGACAATAATGTAAATTTATGAAGTTTATGATGAAATTTATGAGCAATTATAGAAACTGGATCGGTAAGAATAATTAAGAGGAATAATCTTGCTTTCGGTCAAAGTGAATCTTGGTCTTTAGTAATATTCATAATACAAATTGTTGCAAATACATACACTATTCAACAAAAAATAGGGAACACTTTCGAACATAAGAAGATATGTAATATAGAATAGGTTGGTAATGTAAAAAATATTAATATTTCTGATTTCTGTTAATAATAATATGGTTTAAAAGGAATATTCTCAAAATGTGAACAAATAAATAGTTATATAGGCAGCAAACACTCAATTTAAAATGAATCAATTTAAATTTATAAAGGTAAAATTTATGAAGTTTATGATGAAATTTATGAGTAATTATAGAAACTGGACCAATAAGAATAATTAAGAGAAATAATCTTGCTTTCGGTCAAAGCGAATCTTGGTCTTTAGTAATATTCATATACAAATTGTTGCAAATACATACACTATTCAACAAAAAATAGGGAACACTTTCGAACATTGCTCAAAATTGCGCAATATTCAGAACACTATAACTCGGTGAAAAATCATCGCAAATAAAAATCAAAAAAGCATTTTAATGATTGAAATCTCTACTTTCAAAATCGATCATCGATATTTCAGTCTGACTGACTTTCACGGAGCTATGTAGACGCAAATGGATATCCGTTATATAAAAAAATTTTGTACAAACTTTACAAAGGTCTACGGCGTGAAGTAAAAATCACACAAAAGTGCCGTTTACAGTAGTTCAAAGAGTCCATCTTTACTTTCAATTTGCTTTTTTATTGATCATTGTATGATTTTTTTCACACTTTTGCTTCAATGTTCAATAACTTGGTGAAAAAAAATACAACGATTAATAAAACAAATTGAATGTAAAGATTCACTCTTTCGATTGCTGTAAACCACATTAGATACACCGACACTACATAACGCATACTTTACCCTTCTTCCAGAAGTGCGATTATTCGGGCAATTTCGGATACTGGCAAGTGTCTGCGCGGTATTTTAAAAATTTGCAATGTGCAACTATCTTTGTTATAAGCGCAAACTTCCCAATAGCTTCTATCGAGAAAAGAAAAGATTTGAAGTTCGCGCTAAGCGCGTTCGAGGATATGCGGCTATAAGTGAGAGTTTCGCATTAATGCGAATGTCAAAGTTTGATGTTCGCGTTAAGCGAGTCTGAGGATGTAAATCTGCAAATGAGAGTTTCAATTTTGAAATATTGCGCGTGACGTGAAAATAGATCTTAATATAGCGGAAATATACTCTCATTTCCCCATTATTACTTTATTATTGTTTAAATTTTAAGAGTTTTTGCGGGTTTCTTCCCGCATATGACTGTATCCGGCAGTTCTGTCGGGAATAATGCACATTTGAGGGTGCATTCCTCTCTATAAGTGCATGAAATTGAGGCAGATTTACGTTGGTGGCAATTTCTTTAGATTTGAGAAACTGATAGTATTACTCAGGTGATTTTTTGTGTTTGGTGAGAGGTAGTGAAGGCGACAGTTATATCTCTAGTCTTCGCTGATCCAACCGATGCTAACGCAACCCATGGCTGGGATCTGGCGCTTTTGCTTGGGTAATGCATCTTAATGATTGTTCTCATCAATTATTATTTTTGTCCTTGCTTGTCTCATCCTCAGATTCGTCCATTTTCTTGTCTTCACTTGAATTCTCAGAAAACAAGAACTAATAATCATATGTCTGGGAAGTGGTGGGAACATTGTTTAAATATAATTAAAAAAATGATAATCGTATATATGTATATACGGTTAATAAGTGAGAAGCGATAATTTAACCAGAAACGTAAATACGTTCTTTATATAAAGATCACGAACTATTTTAATACTATTCAGGATGTATCATATGGAGGTACAGTCCGCCTAGCATCCTTTGACAGAGAATAGGATTAATTCACTATTCGTTATTTCTATTTTATTTAGTGACTCCAAATTTTCTCTACCATGCGTACGTGCATGATATAGATGAAGTATGAGTAAATTTACATTTCATGTGTATTTTTGTCAGAATCTGAAGATACTAATAGTGACTTTTCCTCAAAATAACTGTCGAAGAATTGAGCAGGAATCAAGATATTCTCTTGGAATTGAGCAAAAAGAAAACCTCACGAGTGTTGGAACGTGAGAACAATATTCCACACACGTGGGCTACTCTTGCACACACATTTGCTTCACTCTTGATCATATTAAAGAATCAAGTGATCTTAAATTTTTGTTATTGTAAAAGAATCCGTATATATTGGCTATGCGACGTATTCAATACCAGTAGATCATCAGAATAGTATATTTTTCAAGACTTGATTGCATTTTAGATCGAATTCCATAAAATACATATTTCATATATTTATTGGTTGCTAAACCGAAAAAAGTATTGATGCTAATGCGTAGGTTGCTCTGAGTTTTCGCAAGATAGCATTAGGTGTCGTGTCACATTAAAATTGATATACTTACTAACTATATTTCGTCTTTTAATAACACTTTTGTTTTTGACGCATCAACAAACATTCATTCGTTCACAGCTGTGAGACATTCAAAGTTAACAGTTTTGAAAGAAAATGAATATATCACAAGAACATTTCTGCGCGATGATTTTCTATGATTTTAAGAAGTCGCTCCACTATAATGTCTCGAGAGTTTTCATTCGGCGATAAAACATTTTAAAGGACTGTTTATGAGTGTTACGCAAACTTCAAGCACGGTTGAGTAGAATTCAGTGACGAATCCTATGAAGGCTGTTCTGCCACAGCGGTTACTCCAGAGAACATCGATGCAATTTATTGCAGTATAAAAATTACACGACTTACAGAAAAATAAAAACATCTTAAAGCATTGGTATGATATTATACAAATCAAAACAATCTTATATGATCATTTTGGCGTCAGAAAACTGTGCTTATTGGATATACCACACAATTTAACGCGCCAAAAAAAAGGTGCGTATCAAATGATGCAAAGAAATGCTGAAAAAATATGTTCATGGTCGGTTCAGAGCAGTGTATGACATCGTAATACGTGATAAATCATGGATTTATTGCTATAAACTGGAAAGCAAGTGATAATTGAGTATGTTCCCAGATGATCCAACAAACGTGAAGCGCGACAGAAGTGTTAGGAAGAAAATGATTGCATCGTTCTTCAGGAAAACCGGTTCTGTTGTGTCTGCCGCGCTTGAAAATCGTCATACGATTAATGCTGAGTGATTAATGATCTATCCGCCTTATAGTTTCGATCTGGCACCTTGTGACTTCTTTCTATTTCTATACATCAAGAATAAAATGTATGGTTTGAAGTTTAATATGCCAGATGCGCAGTTCCGTTTCGCTGTAATTCTATTTGGTCTGGTTTAGCGTATAGCTGACGTACACGATTATTCTCTCCTCTTCCGGAAAGTTTTCAGTTAGCACAATTCCTAACCCGTTTGTGTTAATAACGGGTTATAAATTAAAGATACTGCACCTTCCGCAACTTATTTAGGTCTTGATTGCTTGCGGCAAGGGATACACATTGAGTTCAATGACTCCATTTACGCACCGGAAATATATGCAAAATCTTTTTATTCCCCCCATCCTTCTCACAATTTATGTAATCTACAAGAGGACATATATAACATGTTTAAAAATGAATATGAATTGTTGTGTATATTTACATAAATATAATAATGTAAATTTATACATTACAGAGATAAAATGTAATATTTTTTGTTATGCAATTGGAACATAAGCTATCGATTAGGCCTCAAAACTAGATTCAATTCAGCCCTTATTGAAATCTGATAATCTCAGATATTGACAAGTCATCAGTTCGCGTGAAAAGACACGAGCGGTCTCGCGCTGCGTGTTCACTTGGCGCGAGATACTACCGTGTCTTCTAAATTTTTTAAAATTTTCAGTATATATTTATATATTAAACACAAATTTGTTCTTATCATATTTAATAGTTATTTTTATTGAAAATTCACATCTATTTGCCTATTAGAATACGTTACAAAATTTTAAATTTTGTTATAAATTTTTAAAACAATTATCTATTAAAAATAGTGTACTTACTATTATAGGTGGAGATGTGTGATTCTGTATAATCATTGCAATTTTTTTTCTTAAATGGCAATGCGATATGATTGTAACTGGGGCACGATATCTTTCCTTAAAATGAAAATGATTTTCGAAAGCATTTATAACAAGAAACATGAAAAAAAATGTTTTATTCCTCTATCTACAGGCTAAAGCGACTTTATTTTTCCTCTGTTTACGAGACGAAGCAATTTTCCTACGCGAAGCAAGGTTCACTCCGCCTTTCCTCTGCCTATAAGGGCACATGACTTTCCACGCGAAGTAACTCCACCCTATATTCTTCTCTGTTTAGGAGCGTACGACTTTCCACGCAAAGCGATTTTCACCCCACCTCTCCTCCCTGCTTAAGGGCGCACGACTACATCTGTTGGAAAATTTTTTTTATTATTTTTCTCGTGTTTCTAGTGAAAAATGTTTCTGAAAATTACTTTCATTTTGAGGGGTCAAAGTTAATCGCACATGATTTAAAATCACGTTTGCGATTAATATTCTCTTTGCTTCTTTAAAAGTATATTTCAGATTTTATTAGAGAGTTTTCTATGTTAATACAAAAAAATCAAATGTTTTTGTACGAGTATTTGCTGCGTTCTAACAATTAATATTATTTATTGTTTATAGCTGTAACTGTTCTGAATTTACCAATGATTTTTAATGCAACAAAAATAGGCAGTTAATTAAATTAGGAGTCATGGCTGTGTCTCGGTGTATATACTCATATAAAAATCGATATAATGTATTGCGATTACTGCAATGCACAATTTTGAAAATCGCACATCCATATTATTAGCATTATTTGTAAATGAGCTTACTTTTCAAATTTTAAACAATTAATATTTTTGGTAAATATTCACGTAAAGTCAACTCCTTCAAAAATCAATGAAAAATCAATGTTCATCTGTCTGGTTATATTTTTTATGAGTAACATTTTGAATAAACAACGAATGATAGCTGAAACCTTTTAATTGTTATTCAGGGTCATGATGTTGACATATGCTGTCATGATCATGACTCTGAGTAACAATCAAAAGATTATTTGTTCGTCGTTTATTATAAAGTTATATATCACGCAGATAAACATTTTTTTTCTTTTATTTATTCTTTATAATATTATAAAATATTTTATACAAAGTATTTTATATGATAAACTTTTGAATAGAGAGAACTAGTCCTGATGTTTTTCAAAATCCTGAGTAACCTTTAATTTTGTTCGTTGTTCATTAAAAAATTCACACTCTTCTCTGTTAACGTAACGACTTTCCACGCAAAGCAATGTTGACTCACATACGTCCCCCTCTGCCTAGGAACGTTCGATTTTCCACACAAAGGGCAAAGTAAGGTCTGCTCTACTCTCTCTTCTGTCTAGGAGCGTCCGATTTTCTACGCAAAGCAAGATTTATCCCTTCTTATGCCTACTGCATACTGGATGTGATGATCGACGAGCGACAGTGATATGCAATGAGAGCTGTTTTACATCATCATATGAGAAAAAGCAGAGTTTTCATTAAATATCGTTCGCTCATCGCTTCAGTATGCATTATGCGAGGTCTACAATAGAAGTTGTAGCAGTCGTAGGGTATTACATCGGAAAATCGACCAATCAAAGACAATTATTTTTTTCATATTCGACTGTGATTAGTTAATTTTCTACGACTTAAGACCCTACAACCGCTATGACTTCTATTGTAGACTCCACTTTACACGGCATAACGATTTTCCAGACAAAGGTATGGTCGTACGCACGTTCATGATGCCCACTGGTCAATCAAAATTATTAACAAGCATACGTTATCGTTATGCAGTAAATTTGAACGTGTTATTTCAAGCATGCTTTGTTGGCATATTGCTTGTTTTCCGAATATAGTTCGTGTATCTTTTCACTGCACAGCTCATTTTTTCTTTGCAATGAAAACACAATTCTCACTCTAGTATGTTAACACATAGACTATACCCAGGAAAGTTATTCCATGCAGTTGGTGCATGGTGACCATATTTCACGGACGAATCACATATAGCCAAAACTGATTGTGACGTATGCTTGTTGCATGCGTAGTGGCTTACTACCGGACAAGCATATCCTCGTTATTATAATAAATGATCTTCAGCGATCATTTGGTACATGTGCCAAGATTATTATTGCTTGATGTTGTAAAGATGGAGCTTATTCTGATAAACTAGGTATCGATCATGAAACTTTTTCTTCAGGATGAAAAGTGAAAAGTTAAAAATTTCTCCATTAACTTCAATGGTAAAAATTTTCACTTTTCATTCTAGGAAAAAAGTTTCATGATCGATACTCTGTATGTGTGTAAGATTTCGCAATACCGTTTAAGTTTCTCGGCTAGGATTTTTCGCTGTATTTGCCGATCTCTCACGAGAGGGCCTTTCGTATTGAGTTATGAAAACGTGATGACTAAAACTTATGTGTTGAGAGATTATTCAGGGTCATGACCTTGAACATATCTCAAGATTATTGACTTTGAAGAGGTTGACTTTATGTAAATATTTACCACTTTTTAAATTCTTTTTACAATTCTTTAAAGATGTATTAACATAATTAATCAAATTTTATAAAAATAAAATATAAACATTGAAATTATGATTTAAACTTAATATTCATTTTGTTTATTATTGGTGTTTTATTTTTTTACTTTAATTATACAGTGACAAGAATTTATAATAATTCGAGTCCCTCACTGCAATCACTGACTTATCAAGATACATTATAATAGTATTTCATAAGAAATTGTTGGTGTATTGTTTTATATTTAATGATAAGAAGAATAATATAATATCTTATTTGTGTAAAATTTGAAAATTTTATTTGAATATTATGTTTTAATAAATTTTATTATAAACATTTTAATACAAATTAATATTTTATTGAACTTAATTTAAAGAAAAACAGCAACATTTTTTTTAAATAATTACCATTAAATATTGACAAATCTTTTCTTAGAAAAATTAAAGTAAACGTATAAGTTTATTGTTGTAATACTCATCTTTTATTTAAATCGTTAATTTTTTAATTTTAATATTTGTTTACAGGTACCACCGCAAATTTCAGTGACAGATGTTCTTGGAGGACAAGTGACATTAATCAGTTGTTCACCTTCACCGTCTCCATCGCCAGATTCACTCGAAGATACGTTACCTCATTACAACACTCTTCCGAGTTTTATTATTTCAGAACCGTGCGATCCTTCGAGACCTAGTATAACACGCGGTATCGGTAGACCACACAGTACGACGATACCTACCGAAGTCGAAGTTCCTTTATCTGATGAATCAAGTAGATTAAATTCCGAAACTATATTAGGTCGTGTTAAACAAATAATAGATGCAAGAGCGCCACCAAAAGGTTTTATATTTTCGAGAGAGGAAGTGAAAGGTAGTGGACTTAGTTTAGAATATCCAGGTGGTGTACAAATTGAACTTAGGGTATATGAATCGGAAGAAAGAGAAACGAAAGGAATAAAAATGCGTAGGATTAGTGGGGACCAATTGCAATATAGTCAACTTTGTCAGCAATTGATTTCATGTATTACTGTTTGACGACAACCAGCGTATAATATAATATGTTTTCATACATTACGTTACATTCCTAGTGTATTATACACTATTCATCACAGTATTGCACATACTGCATATACACACAAATGGTATTTTAAAATTACCATTCTTTATATATATAATAACATTATTGTTATTATATTCGTGTAACATTTAATGTATTATACGGTTTTTAGTGTTTGTTTCAAGAGATACATACCATCTACTTATAAAAAATTTATGAAATTGTAAATAAAAAAATATATTAGTTATGTATTCATATCTTCTGAAACATTAAAATGTTATATATATATATTTAATAATTCCCAAAAACATAAACAGTTCAGTTTCTTTATTTTTTTAACTACAGCGGATGTATATTATATAAACTCGTAAAACATTGAAAAAAAATAAATATTTAAAATATTGACAATTTGTTCATTACAATATTAGGGATTAATAATAGTACCCAGTGTAGGTGTAAAGAACGACTCACTGTTTCATTCATATATATAATCTTTCCATATTAATTCAACACACCTATACTGACAAAGGGAATCTCAAAAGTATTTGTCAAGTTTTTTTAATGCCAATTTTTTAGGTAATTATCAAAGTTAAAAAAGTGTCGTGGAGTTTATCAACATGCGGTTTTGTTTTTAAGTTATAAATTTTCGAAGGTTTGAACGATCTTCGAAACACTCCGGCGAGTTAAATTCGCATTCAAGGTTCACCAACTTTTCTCTTTAAAATATATACTTTTCTGTTGTGATTACTATTTTCAAACAATTAAAATATCGATATTATAATAAATGATATAATATATTTATTTGTAATAATAAATTGCTATTTTCTATTTCTGCATTCAAGAGCAGTTCCAAAACACTTCAACCAGTTTGAGTGATTCAAGGTATAAATGTTTGCTTCTCGTAAGTTAAAAGACACAAGTTTGAATTTTGTTAGAAATAATTTCCTTTTTTTTCTTTTAATAAATTATCTTGTTTATTTTGCGTTTTTTTTGCAAAGAAACGTTTCTTTATAATAAATAGAGCGTCTCTGTTGTCTCGGGAATGCATGTACCGTTAATAATTTTTATGTGCGACTTTTTAACCAGAAATGGTTTAATATTATTTTTTGTAGAAAATATGATATTTATATTTTAATTGTTTAAAAGATGTAACAAACAAGCAAAACATGTATTTAAAAAAAAAGTCGACAAACCTAAGAGCAAACCCAATTTGCCGAAACAATTGTTCAATTTCTCAGATTTTTAAAAATTTATAATTCGTAAACAAAGCCGCATGTTGATAAATGCTGCGACACATATATATTTTTTGCCACAAAAATTACTAAAAAAAGTTGATATCGAAAAATTCGATGAACACTTCTGAATTTTCTCTTGTGAGTGTGCTATTTGTTTTCTATATATTTCCAATATTTCTTGTCTTCATATATATTTTGAATGATGGAAACATACGCATACAAACAAAATTTTGTGAATAATGTACTTAAGTGAAGGAGAAAGAAAAACTTGGGTTTTGATTCTATTGGTTCGTTCCAATTTATTTTATTTGATACTCAATAAGTATCTATTAAAGAGGTCTCAATATGCTGAAAATCTGTAAATAAATTTATTTATTGCAAAAAATATTACCTTGGCCGAACACGGATCTCTAACATTCTGTGTGAGCCATTTAGACCACCAAGGCTTTAGTAATATTCTTCACAATAATCAGTATATGTATTGAAACAGCGTTTTTACTTCAAGTAATATTGTACATAACAATATAAACAATAAGAATCATTTTAAACCGTACAAATCGTGAAAATATAACCAATAGGAAATAGGAAATAATGGCCTATAACGGTCAAAGCTGGATTTTTAATGTTTAAATAATTTTATGTTAATTTATATATACTATATATGTACATGCATATACAGGTTGTCCGGAATTTAATACCTGTATATTTTATTTGTAGTCATTTGAATTGCGCGTAGAATTAATTTTCGACGCGCAATGAGTCCTTTTCAGATTCTTATTGTGAAAAATGTTGTAGCTGAACTACTGTTATAATATTATAATTTAGTGCTCAATAGGCATTTATTAAAGAGATTTTAATATTCTTATTAATATTTTAATATCACAGAACTGAGTAAATTTATTAGATATTAATGAAATTATAAATATTTCGGTGAACTTGTTTACTTTTGTAATTTTAACTTCGTTTCAAGGTCACAATCAAATCTTTAAATTTTCGAAATAATTTTGCAAAAAAAAGTTATATTAAACTATTCTTCTCGCATGCGTTATTTTGACATTTAATGTAAAGAAATTTATTTGTCAATATCTTGAAAATACCTAATTTTAATTATATTGCTGAAATTGAAAAAGTAACGCGAATATAGATATGCAAATATAATAATAGAGCGGGAGTTCCTGAAACATGGTGGACCAATCAACACGCGTCTTTCTCATGTTGTGACTCTTATATTAGAGGGTCTCTAGACGACTTCGACGATGTCACGAAAAAACGCCGGCACGGCTTCTTTCAGATTTCTGTCTGGTATAGATATTATAGAAAAAAAAATTTCTTGTTAGCTGGGTACGTAAAGTACCTGGTTACAGTTTACAGTATCTATAGGTACTGCATAACACACTGCATATTATCTATTTACATTTTCAAGACTTTATTTAAAAATAAAGATGCAGCTTTACTTTTAAATTTTATGGGTGTGTGATTACATTAATAAAAAGTACATTTTATAAGACAATAATTATTAAATATTAATTTTTTTTTGAAGGGGGGAATGATTTAAATTTTTTTGTACCATATTTTATCTTCGACTGTTCACTAGAATTTCATGGTTCTAGATTTTTTGTTTCTTTTTCTCTTCTTTCCTCTTTTTCTTCTCTCTCTCTCTCTCTCTCTCTCTCTTTTTCTTCTCTCTCTCTCTCTCCCTCTCCCTCTCTCCCACAGCACGGAACGTTGAAAGAACGTTACTGACATTGCAATGTTGAACGTTGAAATGTAAATGTTTTTTTCAATGTTGAATCTATTATACACTAATTTTTCTATATTAATTGTTGCTGCAATGTTGAATGTTAAAGTGTAAATATTTTTTTAATGTTGAATCTTATATCGATTTTTAAGTACAATGTATAATATAAGGATTGGAAAATTAAGTTGTCCACATATATTTCCATTCTATACATTATGTTTTTGATTTGTAAACGAGAAATTTGTATAGAGTTGAGGAATTAAAGTACATCAAGAATTTAATTTAAAAAATATTGATAATACATTGATAAGGGAACAAAAGATTCCTCATACGTTTGCTGATTCTATTGTGAGAAAAAAAACAAACGATCACAATACAATAATTCAGCATAACAATCAAAGAATAAAATATACATTAACAAAATAAAACAAATAATAATGTATTAAAATGTGTTCTCAGTATTTTAAAAAAGTATTATTGAAATGGTAAGGAACATAGGACTGACGAGAGCTTTCTTAGCAGTAATTATTTTCTTAGTAATAATTATTCGCGTGTATTATTTTTTACAAGCAGTACATTTTTTATATATACATATTTGTTGTTCTCTTTATGAAACCCACACGATTATGATTACGAATGTTTGGGCCATTATGTTTAGCCAGCGTTTAATAATTTAAAATTGATTTTGAATGCGCATAAACCCTTTGTGTTGAAAAATGGATGATTTACATTATGGTATTATCGAATATCTTGCCTTGACAGTTTATTGGATTCATTATGCTTTCATCGTCAAGCGAAATTTTGTGTTGTATTACCACAGTGTGCCAAGGACATTAATTTTTTATTAACTTTTAACGTAATGTACATAATTTTAGATACAAGTAGTTTATAAATAAGTTAGTTCTTGTGTCTTAATTTATTGCATTGATTTAGTAGTTACACTGAAAAGGATCCAAATCGAGGATCGGAATGTTCGCAATACTTCGTATTAACAAAGACTATTACTGCTAAATAAATTACATCAATAACAAGTGTCGACTCTTATTAACATTATTCATTATATGATTTATTTCGTCTATATTTTTTAAATTAATTTAATTAATGTGAGTTTCATAAAGAGAACACACACACACACAATAAATATGTATATTTAAAAAATATACTGTAAAAAACAATATATGTGAATAATGATTGCGAAGAAAGCACAAAATATTTCGTATGCTGTAGAGTTGACTGAACTATGAATTGAAAAGTTCTCTACCATTTTACAATTTTCGTAATAGTTAATAATATTAATTACTAAATTACTAATATTGGTTTTCCATATAATTTTTACTTAAATACCTACTATCAATTTTGTAGAAAAACAGCAAGTAACAAAAATTGTTTATTTTCTTCTCATAGAATTTTGAGAATTCTTTTTCAGAATTTTTTAATACCGCATTTTCTTATTCTGGTAAACATAGTTACCAATAAAAAAATGCAACATTAAAAAGTTGATAAAAAATTCTGTAAAAATTTTTAAAAGTCTATTAGAAGGAAATAAACAATTTCTTTTTCTTGCTATTTATCTGTAAAATTGATAGTATTTGAGTAAAAAATGATTGAAAACTAACATTCGGCGATTTTTAGTAATTAATATTTTGTTAACTATTACGAAAATTGCAAAACGGTAGAAATCTTTCCGACTTAGTTTAGTCCACTCTGTTAACACACGAAATATTTGACGATCATTCTGAGACACACTATATTATATATTCAGCGAAATATGTTCTTGGTACTTATATTAACTCTATATAACAAGAAGCAAGAAATAATCTTATGTCCAAAAATCTTAATATATATACGGTCGGCTGTGATTTTTTAAGATATTAGGAAACATGAGTAACGAAACGTTTAAATACTTTATGTATATATATATTTATTGATGAGGACCATATTCAAAGTCGAAATGTTTATGTATTTTATGTGTATGGATGTTAAATAGTAATTAGCGTTTATCAACGTGCGGCTCTTTTAGTTCAGAAATTATATATATATTATTGAAGATTTATTCATCAAAGCATTAATTACAATTATTAATTGTTACATTGATTTTTCTA